TTCTCAAGTGCACACAGAACATTCTCCAGGATAGATCACATCTTGGGTCACAAATCAATCTTCAGTAAATAAAAAAACTGAAATTATATCAAGCATCTTTTCTGACCACAATGCTTTGAGATTAGAAATCAATTACAGGGGAAAAAAAAAGTAAAAAACACAAACACATAGAGGCTATACAATACGTTACAAAATAACCAAGAGATCACTGAAGAAATCAAAGAGGAAATCAAAAAACACCTGGAGACAAATGACAATGAAAACAGGACAATCCAAAACCTATGGCATGCAGCAAAAGCAGTTCTAAGAGGGAAGTTTACAGCAATACAACCCTACCTCAAGAAATAAGAAAAATCTCAAATGAACAATCTCAAATGAACAATCTCAAATGAACCTTACACCTAAAGGAATTAGAGAAAGAAGAACAAACAAAACCCAAAGTTAGCAGAAGGAAAGAAATCATAAAGATCAGAGCAGAAATTAATGAAACAGAAACCAAGAAAACAATAGCAAAGATCAATAAAACTAAAAGCTGGTTCTTTGAGAAGATAAACAAAATTGATAAACCATTAGCCAGACTCATCAAGAAAAAGAGGGAGAGGACTCAAATCAATAAAATTAGAAATGAAAAAGGAGAAGTTACAACAGACACTGCAGAAATACAAAGCATCCTAAGAGACTATTACAAGCAATGCTATGCCAATAAAATTGACAACCTGGAAGAAATGGACAAATCCTTAGAAAGTATAACCTTCCAAGACTGAACCAGGAAAAAATAGAAAATATGAACAGATCAATCACAAGTAATGAAATTGACACTGTGATTAAAATTCTTCCAACAGGGCTTCCCTGGTGGTGCAGTGGTTGAGAGTCCGCCTGCCGATGCAGGGGACACGGGTTCGTGCCCCGGTCCGGGAAGATCCCACGTGCCGTGGAGCGGCTGGGCCCGTGAGCCATGGCCACTGAGCCTGTGCTCCGCAGCGGGAGAGGCCACAGCAGTGAGAGGCCTGTGTACCGCCAAAAAAAAAAAAAAAATTCTTCCAACAAACAAAATCCCAGGACCAGATGGCTTCACAGGTGAATTATATCAAATATTTACAGAAGAGCTAATACCCATCCTTCCCAAACTCTTCCAAAAAATTGCAGAGGAAGGAACACTCCCAGACTCATTCTCTGGGGCCACCATCACCCTGACACCAAAACCAGACAGAGATACTACAAAAAAAGAAAATTACAGACCAATATCACTGATGAATATAGAAGTAAAAATCCTCAACAAAATACTAGCAAACTGAATCCAACAACACATTAAAAGGATCATACACCATGATCAAGTGGGATTTATCCCAGGGATGCAAGGATTCTTCCATATACACAAATCAATCAATGTGATACACCACGTTAACAAATTGAAGGATAAAAACCATATGACCATCTCAAAAGATGCAGAAAAAGCTTTTGACACAATTCAACACCCTTTTATGATAAAAACTCTCCAGAAAGTGGGCATAGAGGGAACCTACCTCAACATAATATAGACCATATACGACAAACCCACAGCAAACATCATTCTCAATGGTGAAAAACTGAAAGCATTTCCTCTAAGATCAGGAACAAGACAAGGATGTCCACTCTCACCACTATTATTCAACATAGTTTTGGAAGTCCTACCTATGGCAATCAGAGGAGAAGAAGAAATAAAAGGAATACAAATTGGAAAAGAAGAAGTAAAACTGTCACTGTTTGTAGATGACATGATACTATACATAGAGAACCCTAAAGATGCCTCCAGAAAACTACTAGAGCTAATCAATGAATTTGGTAAGTTGCAGGTTACAAAATTAATGCACAGCAATCTCTTGCATTCCTATACACTAATGATGAAAAATCTGAAGGAGAAATTAAGGAAACACTCTCATTTACCATTGCAACAAAAAGAATAAAATACCTAGGAATAAATCTACCTAAGGAGACAAAAGACCTGTATGCAGAAAAGTATAAGATACTGATGAAAGAAATTAAAGATGATACAAACAGATGGAGAGATATACCATGTTCTTGGACTGAAAGAATCAATATTGTGAAAATGACTATACTACCCAAGCAATCTACAGATTCAATGCAATCCCTATCAAATTATCAATGGCATTTTTTACAGAACTATAACAAAAATCTTAAAATTTGTATAGAGACACAAAAGGCACCCAGTAGCCAAAGCAGTCTTGAGGGAAAAATATGGAGCTGGAGGAATCAGACTCCCTGACTTCAGACTATACTACAAAGCTACAGTAATCAAGACAATATGGTGCTGGCACAAAAACAGAAACGTAGATCAATGGAAGAAGATAGAAAGCCCAGAGGTAAACCCACGCACCTATGGTCAACTAATCTATGATAAAGGAGGCAAGGATATACAGTGGAGAAAAGCCAGCCTCTTCAATAAGTGATGCTGGGAAAACTGGACAGCTACATGTAAAAGAATGAAATTAGAACACTCCCTAATACCATATACAAAAATAAACTCAAAATGGATTAGAGACCTAAACATAAGACTGGACACTGAAAAACTCTTAGAGAAAAACATAGGAAGAACACTGTTTGACATAAATCACAGCAAGATCTTTTTTGATCCACCTCCTAGTGTAATGGAAATAAAAACAAAAATAAACAAATGGGACCTAATGAAACTTAAAAGCTTTTGCAAAGCAAAGGAAACTACAAACAAGATGAAAAGACAACCCTCAGAATAGGAGAAAATATTTGCAAATGAATCAACGGACAAAGGATCGATCTCCAAAATATATAAACAGATCATGCAGCTCAATATTAAAAAAACAAACAACCTAATCAAAAAATGGGCAAAAGACCTAAATAGACATTTCTCCAAAAGAGACATACAGATGGCCAAGAAGCACATGAAAAGCTGCTCAACATCACTAATTGTTAGGGAAATGCAAATCAAAATTACAGTAAGGTATCACCTTATACCAGTCAGAATGGCTATCATCAGAAAATCTACAAACAACAAATGCTGGAGAGGGTGTGGAGAAAAGGGAACCCTCTTGCATTGTTGGTGGGAATGTAAATTGATACAGCCACTATGGAGAACTGTATGGAGGTTCCTTAAAGAACTAAAAATAGAATTACCATATGACCCAGCAATCCCACTCCTGGGCATATACCCAGAGAAAACCATAATTAAAAAGACACATGCACCCCAATGTTCATTGCAGCACTATTTACAATAGCCAGGTCATGGAAGCAACCTAAATGCCCATCGACAGACGAATGTATAAAGAAGTTGTGGTACATATATACAATGGAATATGACTCAGCCATAAAAAGGAACGAAATTGGGTCATTTGCAGAGATATGGATGAATCTAGATACTGTCATACAGAGTGAAGTAAGTCAGAAAGTGAAAAACAAATATCGTATATTAACGCATATATATGGAACCTAGAAAAATGGTACAGATGACCGGTTTGCAGGACAGAAATTGAGACACAGATGTAGAGAACAAACGTATGGACACCAAGGGGTGAAAGTGGCAGGGGTCGGTGGTGTGATGAATGGGTAGATTGGGATTGACATATATACCTTAATATGTATTAAATGGATAACTAATAACCTGCTGTATAAAAAAATAAATAAAATAAAATTCAATAATTCAAAAAAAAGTGTCCTGTGTAATCAGAATTTCATCTTTATTCATATATACACAACAAACATTTAATGTAGATCAATTTATGCATTATTATTGATGGTTAGTGCTTTGTATAAAATTGTTTTCCCAATGTTAAGTGTATAAAGAAATTCTCCTATATCCAAAGTTTTAAGTTTTTACCTTTAAATTAATTAATTTGAGGCATAGTGTTAAATAGTCAAGTTTCATCTTTATTCACATATGCTCAACAAATTTTACTATAAATTATTTTCATCATTATTAATCATTTTGAACTCATTTTTTGTTTCCATTATGTTTTTACTCATGATTCATTTGGCCCTTGAACAGTGTGGGAGTTTAGGGGCATCGGCACTTCACCTAGTGGAAAATCCAAGTATAACTTATAGTTGGTCCTCTGTTCTGTGGTTCTGCTACCAACAATGGGTAGTGTAGTACTCTAGTGTTTACTACTGAGAAAAAGCCATGTGTAAGTGGAACTGTCCATTTCAAATGCCTGTTGTTCAAGGATCCTCTGTATTTAGCAGTCTATTTTGTTTTAAAAATATAAGGATTTTCTGCTCATATTCTTGTAATGAAATTCTAACTTAAACTCATTGTGGTCTATGAAAAATGATGCATCATTTTAATCCTTTAAACATTTTTGAGACCTACTCTATGGCCTAATCTATGGTCAACATCTATATGTGCTTGTAAAGTGTGTAATCTGCCTTTGTTGGGTAAGATGCTCTATATGTGTTCGTTTTTTCATCAGCTGTTCATAACTTCTATAACATTACTAATCAATTTATAAGATGTACTTTAAAATCTTCTCGAACGACTATGAAGACATTTCTTCCTGAGTAGCATCCACTCACTGCTGCTGTTGAAAATTCTCCCTTTGCTCTGCCATTCATTTGAAAGTGTGTAATCTATTTTACTCTACTCGTCCTTAAGATTTCTGCTATTTCTTTATAATATTGATTTCTAGGTATAGATTTCTTTTCTGTATTCTGCTTGAGATTTATTGGTATTTTTTTAACCTCTAACTGCATTTTTGTCATCAGTTTTAACAAAATCTCAACCGCTATCTCACTATATATTACTTTTCCCCCCTATTCTCTCTCTCTTCTTCTAGAACTTTAATTCAACATACGTTCAACCTTCTAATTCTACTGTTTTCTATATTTTTATCTTTATGCCTGTCTGTGCTCTATTCTTTTTTTTTTTTTTTTTTTGGTACGCGGGCCTCTCACTGTTGTGGCCTCTCCCGTTGCGGAGCATAGGCTCCGGACGCGCAGGCTCAGTGGCCATGGCTCACAGGCCCAGCCGCTCTGCAGCATGTGGGATCCTCCTGGACCGGGGCACGAACCCATGTCCCCTGCATCGGCAGGCGGACTCTCAATCACTGCACCACCAGGGAAGCCCTGTGCTCTATTCTTGACAATTCTTTCTGAGCTATTTCAGGTTAGTAATTCTATTTTCATCTTTGTCTAATCTGTTATTAACTTTATTCACTGTGACTTTAATTTTGGTGTTTTCATATTTCTCACTTTTAGAAGTTGTATTTAGGTCTTTTTCAGATGTCATTTTTTTAAGGTTAATGTTCCCCGGAGTGCTTTTTTTTTTTTTTCTCACACACACACACACACACACACACACACACACACACACACACTGTATTTTATTTTTACAAGAGGTAAATAAACTGACACCAAGCATTGTAAATGGATGACCACAACAAAAGCAATAATGATTGCAATTACCAAACATGAAACACACTATGTCATAATATTGACATTCAGTCCAGGAATCCTCCACTGTAACAGCTCCTTTACTTTGCAGTAAAAATTGATTTGTATATTTTTTGCCTCTGAGTCCTTGTGAGATTTTTTTTTTATTATTCAAACAGAAAGTCACAAAGATTATAATCATCCTCATCAGTTCACTCAGTCCTGTGTAATTAATTTGTTTTTTTCATCTTGATCTTTTGTTAGCACTTTTATGAATTCATCAGTTTTCCATTAGGGTTCTGAAAATACTTATTCATTCAGTTCAGCAGTATAGTCAGTTACCAGAAACCTGTACTTGTCAGAGTCTTTTCCATGAACTCCTTGAAGATGAAACCCTTTTATAGGAACATATTTGCAAAAGCCTCAGAGTACACACAGAACTCTCTGTAAATGACAAAAGACTTAAAAATGACCACGGTTAAAGATTTGATGAAAGTTCATGATAATGCAATTGACAAGGAAATTTAGTAATTTCTGAGATATACATTTTAAAGTAATAACTAGAATTATAACATGGGAGTGCTTTTAAAGCTTGTTTTTATTTCAGCATAATTTTTTTTGCAATCTATATTTTATTTTACTAATAGTATTGTCCCAATAATTAAAGTATTTTTCTCTTATCATCTATTGTTTATTAGTCATGGTGTCTTATATCTTTGCTTGCTTGTTGATCTGTTTATATTTGACTATATGCTTGTCATTATACTTGAAAAACAATATTTAGGTGTAATTCAAACACTGGAATTAAGTGAATTTCCTCTACATTTGTATTTGATTTTGCCAGGTACTTTAGCAAACAGTCCATAACAACATTAATCGAAGTTCAAGGTATGAGAGTCCATGAAAGTCCAGTACTATTTCCATCTTTCATGAAATTACATGCAAGCACTTGCCCATTAACTCTTCTTTGTTACTTTGAGTATGTAAACTTTTCAGTTCCCAGCTTATTGTGAGGAGGGTTTGACTAGACCTGCTTGCGTGGGTCTTGGTCTTTGATTTGATTTTTTTTTAATTTCTTTTATTTTTTAAAATTTATTCATTTTTTATTTTTTTAACATCTTTATTGGAGTATAATTGCTTTACAGTGGTGTGTTAGTTTCTGCTTTATAACAAAGTGAATCAGCTATACATATACATATATCCCCATATCTCCTCCCTCTTTGATTTCTATACCTCTCACTTTATATGCTCGTTAAAACAGAAGTTCGAATTTTGTGGGTTCAGCAAATTTCCACAGAACAATAGTAACTGTCTAACTGGACACCCATTATTCCTTCAGTTTGGGCCTGGTATTCACTCCTACATTTGCATTTCTTCAAGGCTTTTAAGGTTTTTAGCCATTTTAAACAGGTTTCTTTCGGTTGTTTTTGGTGGGAAGATCGGCATGAAATCCTAGTCACTGTTAATGAAATCCCTTATCCACATCTCTATTAAGATCATTGGGAGCATATATATTTGACTCCCATTTCTTCGCATGCTACTCTTTATCCTTTACTTTGTAAAAAAGTTACATTAAAGTTTTTAAAATAAAATAAAGTGTTGTAAAACTTTAATTAACAATAAATTAAAATTACCCAGATGCTAAGGCACTAATAAAGCTGTTATACTATTTTCGTTTCTTTTTCCCTGTTTTCTGCATATTACTTTTCAGATGCATGAAGAAATTTCATGAGGTTGCAGTCATAAACCGTGCATTAGAGGAAGGATTAAGTTCTTGGCAGCTCTGAAAATAAGCTATAACCTGTGTATATTTATATATAGGGAGAGGATCCTTAACTTTGATAACATTTTCAAGTGGGCTTATCATAATCCATGGAAGACTGAGAATTGTATTAGCTTTCAATTCTGATACTTTTGCAAAAATTTTACTATATTGTAGTGCTTTCTATGCCAACAGAGAAACTTTGAAGTATTGTGAAAACTGTCTCACAACCCCTTGTGTTTCTCTGCAGGACTCTGCCGTGCCTTTCTCTCAGTGATGAATGCCTGGGTCCACTTCTTCATGTGTTACAGGGAGCACAGCAGTGACGTACCTCCTTCTTAGGAGCTGTCACCCCCGGGGCAGAGATGGGATTAGGTTGATGGGACTCCTATACCATGGATGAATAGGATTTGAGATGTTTTTCCACCGGGGTCTGATGGCTTGCAACAAAATCAAGTCACTAGGCCTTTTCTGCATGCAGAGAACCTTCTGGGACATAAAGGCCTTTGCCTTGAGTAGGAAGCAGGAGAACAGAAGTCGTCCACAGTGTCAGGATTTCACTGAGAGTTTGCTGGGGCTCAAGTGACCTGAGAGCATAATGGTCAATGGCAGAGCCTCATTCTTCCCTTTCCTTTCTCTGGCGGTGCCCTCCACACACTCAGGAGAGAGAGCTACTCAATCTGCATGACA